AGCCCTGCGAAGGCCCTCCCTGGCCCCAGGCAAGCAGGGGTGGGGAGAGGCAGGGAGGAAGCAACTTACCCTCCCTCTTCTCCTGCCTCCTCCTGGCTGAATGAGGGCCGGAAGCAGGGGGCGGGACTTTGTCATGTGCCCCGCCCCCCATACCTCACCCGGGGGAACTGCGATCCCCCGCGATCCCCCCCCAAATGACCTCTGGTTTGTATTTAGTCTTTATTCCTGTAAAGTTCTGGCTGAAAAGAATATAAGTGCTATTTTATGTATTCAGTGAATGAAAAGGAATAATTTGTTGGATAATGCTTCTGTTCAGCTCTAGATCAGAAGTCTACAGTGGAGGTAATATCTGCTTGTCACAATAAAACCTGAGATGTTCAATCACCCTTTTGTTCAGACTTCAGTTTGTTCACAGATTGCAAGCAGGACCTCAAAACTTGGGGAAAAAACATTCAGTTGTTTTGGAATGTTCAAAACTATTCTGCTGATATGCATTACTGCACTGTTTTCCCTATTCCCATCCCTCACCCAGCCTCTTTGTAATATATATTGAAAGGTATGTTATACCTTGCTTGGTGGCTGGAAGGACTGTGTGGCTTGTCTTTACTCTAGCCCTGCTCATTTTCAGTGCTTGCCTGTCAAAATTGCAAATACTCTGCCATTGCTGCCTTTTCCTGTATCTGTTTGCCGAATATATACAACAGGGGGAAAATCTTAACATGCAAAAGGTGGGTGATGAGGTGTCGGGATGAAGTGAAGGGAATCTACATGGTTTGTCTGTCTAGTGTTCCAACCTTGTCTGTCTAGTGTTCCAATAGCACCAATTTTATTTATTTATTATTTTCATCTATAGTCCACCTTTTTCACTGGGACCCAAGGTGGATTACAAGTATGAGGGGGGAAACCTTTCAGTCAATCAGTAAGTGGATTACAAGGTTTGAATCTAACAGCAAAGATGCTTAGTAAGACAAAAAGGCAGTTGGGCTGAGTTTGCAGAATGGAGGGGGAAAACAGTGCATGCAAACATATCTGTTTAAGGTAACAGGGCAATCACTGTACCAATTATTATCCCTAATAAATGTTACCTCCTGAGCTGAACCATTATGCTACAACTTTGCTCCTTTTACAAGAATGCCCTCCTGAACTATTGTTTTGCATATTCTGTGAAGGGCTAGAAGTGCAGGGACCTTCCTAATAGCCTTACGCAGACTATTCCACAATATAGGAGCTACTACAGAAAATGCCCGTGAATGAGAAGTGGCCAATTTTACCTGTTTTCAGGGTGGCATCTTCAGAAGGCTCAGGTGAGCGGAGCTGTCACAACAGAACATAGCAGGAGAGGTGATCCTGCAGGTATGTGGACCCAATGCCTTTAAGGGCTTTCTAGGTGATAGCTAGCAGCTTGACTTGAACCTGGTGACTGATCAGTAACCAATGGAGTATCTGCAGATGGAGAGTGATATGCAGATTCTGGTTTGCACAATAATAGCTGGGCTGCGGTATTCTGTACCAACTATTTTCCAAGAATGCATTACATGAGTCTAGCCTCTAAGTCACCATAGAATGGATCCATATGGCTAGGTCAGCAGAATCAAGGTTGGAGGCCATCTTCTGGACTAAGTGGAGTTACTATAATGCCTTTTTTTGCAGATGCCTTGGCCTGCTTGTTCAGCAGTATCAATTATTCCTAGGCTCTTGTCAATGAAAGTTATCTAGGCCCCATCAAAAGTGGAAAGCACCATGTCCTTCAGGAATTTGGCCTTCCCAACCAACATTACCTCCATCTTGTCAGGGTTCAGTTTAAGCTTGGCTCCCTTAGCCATTTAACTCCAGTCACCAGACATCAGTTCAGAGACTCTACTGCATCACCGGGTGATAAAGAAATACAGAGCTGGGTGTCATCAGCATACAGATAACACACTATTCTAATCCCATGAATGATTTGTTCTAAGGGTAATGAATTATCTGATAAGGGCAGTCACACACTATAGAAAACAGGTCCCTGACAATAACCTTCAAAGGCCTGCTCCTAAGGAATGATTTGAAACAATCCAAAGCACATCCCTTAATCCCTACTTCTACTTCCATGCATTTCAACAGGATGGGCATGGTCATAGAATCACAGTTGGAAGGGGTCATACTGGACATCTAGTCCAACCCCCTGCTCAATGCAGGATCAGCCAAAAGCATCTCTAACAAAATGCTCCCTCTAGGCTGGGGAGTCTTGTGAGAAAAATTCTACTTTGTGAGCTACTGGCATTGAGGTTGTGAGCAAGTGATTGGGCTACTGCATAAATTAGTTTGCTCTGGAACCATCCTTCCTGAGCTCAGACAAAAATGTGTGAGCCGGAGGCTAAAAAACTGTGAGCTAGCTCACACTAACTCAGCTTAGAGGGAACACTGCTGACAAGTGTCTGTCCAGCTGCTGCTTGAAGACTGCCCGTGTGGGGGAGCTCACCACTTCCCTAGGCAGCCAATTCCACTGCTGAACTACTCTTTCTCTTTAAAAAGTTTTTCCTAATATCCCGCTGGTGCCTTTCCATCTGTAATTTAACCCCATTATTGTGAGTGCTGCCGGCAGGAACAGCTCCCTGCCCTCCTCTGAGTGACACCCTTTCTAGAGCAATCATGTTCCCTCCCCCACCTCCTCTTCTCCAGACTGAACATTCCCAAGTCCCTCAGCATTTCCTTGTAGGGCTTGGTCTCCAGGTCCCTGATCATTCTCATCACTGTCTTGTGCATCCGCTCCATTCTGTCCACATCCTTTTTGAAATGAAACCTCCAGAACTACACATAGTACTCCAGGTGCAGCCTGACCAATGCAGTGTACAGTGGGACTATGACATCTTGTGATCTGGATACATTTTGTGCTGCTGGTAAGTCTAGTAAGAGCATGTTCATTTCTATTAATTGGATTTCCATGGTCTTGCACAGCTGCCTGGACAAAAATTCAGTTCTGAGTATGCACCAGCACACTGAATGCCACCAACTGATTAATGTCACTGCCCAAGTATAAAGCAGTGCATGTACCCTACATAGCCGAATTTAAATTATGCATGACCTGCGGCATATGTCCTACAATCATGCCAGTCATAGTGAATATGTCTGCAGTTGGGTATCCGGGCATTCACCATAAGGAGTAGAACAACTCCACAGATGCAGCAAGACTTGAAATTCCATTTATTTTGAATTGTGAGCAAATCATCAACATGAGATGTCCAATTCAGCACAAAGCAGGCAATGCAAGCAAGTTAAATCTGAATTCCAATCACATTTTCTGTGATGTTCTCCAGCATTCCTTACAAACCGGGTTGTAAGCATGACATGATTATCAAGTGATACAATTGAATGCTTAAAGCACTATATAATTTGTAAGTATATAGTTCTAATCAATGGTATTTTATGTAATAAATGCAGGAATTAAAAAGGATTACATATTTTCCATAGTATTGTACTAGTGCTGTAAGATTAGGAATGCATACCATTAAAACAGTAAGAGTCTTGTGACATTAATAAATGTATTCTGGCATATACTTTCATGAATGAGAGCTCACATTCAGGTTCATATGGGTGAAATGTCTGGTACTTACAAACTCTCTATGTGGTGGTATTACCAGCCCTGATCGCTTCTAAATACTGCTGGCTGTAGGGTAGTCCTCTTCCCATAAAGTTACACCCTTCGAAATCCATTGAAGTCAATGGGTTTAAAAGGGTACCACTGTTTCATATGGCACTGTACATTACTTGCAAATAAGAGTAAATACAAGTGATCATTTGTTAAAGTAGTCCACAGTATCACCCTGTCAAAAGGGATGAGAATTTTGGCCCTGATCATAGATATGGGGAAGGAAAATCCTCTTCACTGCCTGGCAGGACAAAACAGACCACTGGCTGTCATGTGGCCGGCATGACTAAACACCAAGGCGCACAGAACGCTGTTACCTTCCCACTGAAGTGGTACCTATTTATCTACTTGCAATTTCTTGCTTTTGAACTGCTAGGTTGGCAGGAGCTGAAACTAGAGACGGGAGTCATGCGGCACCCGGGTCTCGAACTGCTGACCCTTCCACAGCCTGCAGTTCAGCATCTTAACCACTTGAGCCACCGCAGCTTCTTACTTTACATAGGAAGGTGTAATAGCTTGATTATGCACCGTCCTTTCATGTACCCTGTAGGGCTTCGTGAATAGGGTCATCTTTGATTTCTTATTCTTACTCTAATCAACACGTAGGTGGCAGATCGATATATATCTTCTTGGGAGCGAGATGCAGGTGTATTTAGAATGGGCTAGGGATGCCAGCCTCCAGGTGGGAGCTGGGGATCCCCCGGAATTAAAGCTCATCTCCAGACTAGAGAGATCCGTTCTCATGGAGAAAATGGATGCGTTGGAGGGTGGACTCTATGGCACTGTATCCCGTTGAGGTCCCTGTCCTCCCCTGGCTCCACCTTCAGGAGTTTCCCAACCTGGATGTGGCAACCCCGCTGGTGGCCTGGGAGGACTTGGCTGGCAACCCTAGCAAGTGCCAAGAATTCTAAATCCAAACGCATCTGTTTTAGGATCGATGTGGATCAAGGACAAAAGCAGCAGTTCTGTTCCTCAGCTCACGGTCAATGAACGAGCAATGGAATAATTAATCCAGACCCAAAAGTCGTTTCCTGGCGCTGGCAGAGATTTACTTGTTGTCTTTGACCGGCTGGGTGCGTAGAGCTTTCTGTCAGGTCCCATCGGAGGATTTACCCGAGGGGACGCCCACTGGCGCAGCAGCCGATCGCCCTGTGCGACGCGAGCGCCCCCACCCTCGGGTTCCGCATGCTCGCCAGGACCTTGACCTGCCCCCCCCCCCCCCCCCCGCCGCCCCCCGTCCGTTTTACGCCAATCAAGGGCGTCTGCTCGCCCTCCATCCGGCGGGATAGGGCCTCCTGCTCTCCACCCCCTGCTGAGTAGCGTGGCGATGCGCTGGCCGGCCGGCCTGGGCGGAGCTTGCCTGCCTTAAGGCCGCTGCCCTTGCCAGCCACGCCAGAGCCGGTGAATGAGCAACGTGCCGTGACTTTGCATCAGCGGCATCGCCGGCGCTCCAACCTCGGACCCCCCGCTTCGCGTCTGTGTGTCCCAAGGGATCCGTTTGCTGCTGCTGCTGCTGCTGCTGCTGACTCGCTGGTGCACCTGATGGAAAAGGCAAAGGAGAACAGTCCCGGCTTCTTGCCGCCCTTCAAACACTTCGCTACAAAGGCCATCCACGTGGGACAGGAACCTGAACAATGGAAGTCCATGGCCGTGGTGCCCCCTATTTCCCTCTCAACCACGTTCAAGCAGCGGGCGCCGGGAGAGCACTGTGTGAGTTGTGGCGGGGAGGAAATATGGGCTCGGGATGTTGTT